ATATAATAAGGTGCAAATTGTGAGTTTTAGTAATAATACAATTATGCTGATGTGGACTTATTAATGTTCATGAGATCAATTTAATGTTTAGCATTCTTTTAAATACGTGTAAATGCACCGATGCTAATACAGAGACTCTGGATCTCATCATTCATACATACGAGAAATTTTATGTTCAGTTTATGGTGTTTTTTTCTTGATTCAATGTCATGTCAGTTGAATTCAAGACATGTTGAACTTTAATTATATTTATTTTGTCTTATCTTCCGATTCCTTAATCAACGTTAAATTTTAGTGTCATCTTGACTTATTGTGTAATTCTATACTAATTTGTGTAAGGATGGACCATTGGCCCATTACTAGTAATATTGATATTGTTTTCAACTTAACCACTTATTTAGTAGGTGTGGGGGTTTTATACAAAAGACCCCGATGATATTAGTAGTTGAAATATTGATTATATATTGTATTTTGTTTAGTCAAGTTTCCAACATTTGACTTATATTCTTCAAAAAATATAAACCCAACATGTTTGACATGTGAGATAGAATTTTGCATAGGTTGGTGGGGGATGGCGCAGCCTGTTTCCTATGCAGTTAAGGTCTTCGATCTAATTACGATACATTAAATATGTTTTTAGTGCAAACCAAATATCTCACGTGTGTAAAACGTGCAAATTAAAAACTAGTGTAAGTTCACATGTTTCCCTTTTTCTATGAATTGATTTAAAAAGATGAAAAGAAAAATAGAAGGAAATAAATCCAAGAGGAATGAAGGAGTAAAATTACTTTCCTTTGATTTTTTTGTATTTCCAAGTGAGATGTGTTTGATGAATTATTTTGTTGAATCAATGAATTGATCACAGAAGTTGACAATGGCTCCCTCCTACATCAAGCCTCCAGTCAATGTAGTTGGCAGGGCAATTCTTTATACAACACAGCCACTTGATTTGAAGGAGTAAATCAAAACAGAAGAAATTAATTAATTAGCCAAAATCTCAAACCCTTTTAATTATAATAAATCATGCGTTTCTTTTAATTTTAACGAAAGTGTACAATTTAATTATAAACCTAAAAGAAAGCGCATAAAATAACAAAAGAAACTAAATCCAAACAGAAAGAAGATGAAGCTAAAATCTCGCCATCTCCATGGACCCCTCAAATTAACTATGTCAAAATCAGACTGCAGCTTGAAAATTTCATAGGGTTGATGCTGTAGCTTGACTACTTTGTTACTTGGACTTCCTTCGAATTTGTAAAAAATTACTTCGTGCCACGCTTCCATTAGTGCAATATCACTGTTGTAATATGCTTCAGGGGAAGGATACTGCCCCACCAGTTGTTTAAGCCCATCAAGACTAATCAGTTTGTGTCTCCTCCATACTTTTTTCTCATGATCTTCCATGACCCATAGCTCCATCAACCCTCCTTCAGAGTAAATCAAGGCAAGACGACCTTGGTACTCTACGAGTTTGGTGTACATGGCAAAGTACTCACTATCACTCCGCTCTGGTGAATCAAAAATTTCCCAACTCTCTTTATCGTCTTCGTAATAAAAAGCAAGCACTTGGTTGTTCGTCAGATGCCAATAACACGCACCATCTGATGTTACACAAGGCCGCCGGGGGAGTTTCAACCACACAGAATAGGGGAAACTAACATGTTTCAACTCCTTCCATGCCCAGGTGTTTGAATCAAACACTTCGCACCTTATAAGGGTTTGGTGCAGTTGATACTTGACTGGAGATTCGGGATCCGAAAACCGGATAATCTTGTACCTTAAAGGTTTCGAACTCAACACGACTATGGCGTTACTTCGGGTGTCGTACCTAGTCTTTGGATTGGGTAAAGTTTCCCATTGTAGAGTGGTAGGCTTGCACACAAAATATTCGGGTACTCTACGATGGTTTTGGTTCACACAAAATACTAGGCCACCTTGGCTACTCACAGCTTCAACTTTGACAGGGGCAGGCAAGAAGTTCAGTACTGAGAGCTTCAAAGTCTTGTTGGCCTTGTTATCGACAGACACAAACGTTGATGAGAGTTTGTGATCGTGGAAATTCTGAAATAAAAACCCAGACACTGTGTCACTTCTCTTGCAAAACAATTGCCAGAACCTTGACTCGTATGTGATGTGATTCCAGTCCTTTGAAACCACCCTACACAACCCTAGGCTGTCGAGCGATTTAACTCGCGGTAGAATATGATCAAACCATATTTCCGAAGGAAGAGATGGTGGAGAGGCCATTGGAGCAAGTAAAGAAAGACGTCGACCGAAATTATAGGATTCGGATCCTCTGCTAATCTATGTATTATGTAGGTGTTTTTGTTTTCACATATGAATCATGTCCAAAGTTTGAACTGGAATAGATATAAGCTTGGAGAGAAAGAAAGAGGCTGGACTGACGAACTCTATATATAGAGCTTTTGGGAATTCTTTTCCGACAAGCTTTTGGATTTCTTTTTCCTATACAACTTCTATTTGATGTAGGAAACTTGGGACCAAAGAAACTGGTTGAACGAGTCCCTAGGTTAGGTAGATGGGAAATTAGTAAGAGTGAGAATTTGTTTCCAAGTTGGGTTAGGAGAACCAAGAAAAATTAAACTAAAAACGAGAACCTAGAAAAATTACAGTCCTTTTCAGAAATAATCCTCATCTCACAGCTGTCTTTCAATTAATTTTTTCTTTTTCCAAAGTCACAGCTGTTTTTGTTCAGTTTGCGTTCGATATAGTATATGAATATTTTAAAGGTATAGCCGCACGGCCATACTATATAAATAGAATATTTTAAAGTTATAGATAGCTGCGATATAAATTAGAATGTTATAAAGCCGCGCGGCTGTACCTTTTAAATAGCATAATCTAGATTTCTCTTTTTTAATTACTTTAATTAGTTGTTATGTTTTAATTATTATTTACTTAGTGAATAATTAGTATTTAAATATTTTTTTAAAGAAAAAAATTTAAAAAATTAATTACTATTTATCAAGTAATATAATTTATGAATATAATTAAAATATTTAATACTAATTATTCACTAAAAAAATAATAATTAAAACATAATTACTAATGAAAGTAAATAAATAAGGCTGAGATATTATTTAATTACTAAAATAAAATTTTATTGACCTAAAGATACTAATTTTGCATTTATTTTTTTAAAAAACTTCTCCCGAAGACATGTCGTCGGCACAGGTAGGTTTCGTCGGGAGAGGTCTAATCCGGCAAACATTTGCTGACGAAATTTCGTCGGGAGAGGTTTTCTTCCCTTTTTTTTTTAAAAAAAAAAATTATAAAAGTTATAAAAATATAAAACTAGTTTGTTTGCTATATACTATAAATAGAATATTTTGAAAGTATAGCCGCTCGGCTATAGTCCATAAATAGAATATTTTAACTTGCCATTAGTTTTACGAAATGATTGCATGAAGGAGAAACTTAGATACATGTTGTTTACGGTGTTCGTTACACCAAGAAGTTCTTCAGCTGTTTTGTTTTTTTTTTACTTGTCTTGGATCTTTCAAAATATTAAGTAACTAATACCGTTTATGCCTATCATTTATCCTCTAATTATTCCCCTGATTACCAGTAAAAACATTTGCAGACGACCCGAGGATAGAGGATGAAGCGAAATTAACGGCAGAAGAACCGGGAATAAGTTATCTCTGGAATGAAACGACGTTAAGGGATCCCACCGAGGAAGATGAGAAGTGGATTCAGCAGCTCTGGATGGTGAGGAAGCCATTGCGGGGAATGGGGCCTGGGCTCTAAATTTGGGGATCAATCTCTTCTACAGTACTAGCCTTAGCCATTCGCATCTTTACAGTAAGCAGATGGCATACAATTCTGTTATATACAATGCATTTGGTCGTACTTCTCCAGCTAGCTCGCCCACAAGAATTGATGTCTATGGGAGGAGATCTGGCAAGCAGAAAAAGGTAGTGGCAGGGAAATGGTGCGGTAAAGTCTGGATGTCGAATCATGTTCATCCTTATCTAGCAAAAAAGGACCCTGAAGAAGAAGAACATAGGAGCTTCCATGCTTGGGCAATGCCAGATGAGAAGCTTGAGGGACAACCAGAAAGCATAGAAATTTTACAGGTATAGCCGAGCGGCTACAATTCTAAAATAGGAATTCCAAACGTATCGCCGAGCGGCTATATTCCATAAATAGAAATTTTAATGGTATAGCCGCGCGGCGATATTCCATATGTAGAAATTTTAATACAAATTTATAAATAAACCCAATACTAGACATGTATTTATAAAAAAACCCAAGCACTATTTAAACATAGAAACACACCCAAAATCAACCCCAAAGTCAACTTTTTGGGTGTGTTTATAAATGGGTTTTGAGTGTGTAATGATGGGTTTTGGGTGTGTTTATATATTTAAATAGTGCTTGGGTTTTTTTATAATTTCAACCCCCATTTTGGGTGTTTTAGTGAAACTCCCAAATTTTAACGGTATGGCCGCTCGAATAATTTATAGATAGAAATTTAATAGTATAGCCGCGCGGCTATACACCATAAATAGAAATTTTAAGAGTGTAGCCGTCCGGCTTATACGCTTTAAGTAGAAATTTTAAGGCATAGCTGCTCTCATGGTTCTTTATGTTCCTCTGTCTCCAGAGGACCACTTCTCTGTGTTTGAATTAATCCTTGAGAAGGATAATTATCAGAACCCCCCAATTGGAATTGATCAGCAGCAGCATGCTGAATGGTTTGAGGAGCAGCTGGAAGCGGATCTCAAATGGTCTTTTGAATGGGTACGCCTTCAAGTATTCAAACATGAAAAAAAAAAATTGAAAAAACCAATTCTTCTAACCGGGTTTACATTTTAATGAATCTTTTGGAATTTCTGCTGCAAGGTGAATCAAATTCAAATCAATTCCGAGAGAAATCACATCATGCAAATTAAATCATCAGTTCATTTTGTACAATATTAGTAGTAGTACTGGTTTTGATTCTCTCTCTCTCTCTCTGTGTTGCGTGCAGGAACAAGCGAGTTCCAAGACAGTTCTTTTGGACACAAAGCGATTTGGAAAGGTTGGTTAGCTATCACATTAAGGACTCTAAATCACACACACATATCAATTAATTGGTCACTGATATTTTTCTCTTTTTTTTGTTTTTTTTTGTTTTTTTGTTTTTTGTTTTTTTTGTTTTGGTGTTGTTGGTAATTAGGCTCTGGTGATCGATGGGAAGTTGCAGAGTGCTGAAAGAGATGAGTTTATTTACCATCAATGCTTGGTTCATCCTGCTCTTTTACTACATGACAAGTATATATGCGAATATATTTTTAGCTTAGCTTAATCCTTTTTTCTTTTTCCCTTTTGTGTCTTATTTCTGTATGAGATTTACCATTTAAGTGAAAGCTAAATGATCTTCCATCTTGTTTTCATCCAAATCTGTAAGGTGTTGCTTAACATGAATATTGCAGATGATCTTCTATCTTGCTTTCATCCAAATAGAAATTTTAAACGTATCGCCTAGCGGCTATACTCCATAAATAGAAAAATTAAACGTATAGCCGCCCGGCTATACGATTTAAATAGAAATTTTAACGGTATAGCCGGTCGGAGATACTACATAAATAGAATATTTTAACAGTATAGCCAAGTGGCTATACACCATAAATAGAAATTTTGGTAGAAATTTTAAAGGTATAGCCGAGCGGATGTACTCTATAAATAGAAATGGAAGTCTTTAAATGGAACTCCATATATAGAGCACGTCAATCATTAATCGTTTTGGGATATCTTTTCCTACAAGCTTTTGGATTTCTTTGGGGTTATTTTCTTACAAACTGGAAATTACACCGACTCTGACCGGAAAAGTTTAGAAACCTAAGAAGTAACAAGACAAAGAACAAAACAAACCAAATGCAAACAAGAACAAGATGAAACTAAAATCTTGCCATCTCCATCGACCCCTCAGATTGACTCTCGAAAAATCCGATTGCAGCTTCGAAACTTGATGGGGCTGATTCCCAAGACTAACCACATTAGCACTAGAATCTTCAAAATTGTAAAATATGAGTTTTTCGTCGCGCCCTTTTATAAGTGCAATATCACTGTTGTAAAGTGCTGCAAGAGGAGGAATATAGCCCTCCACTTGTTTACACACTTTAGTGCTCAATGTCCATGTCTGCCGCTTGCTCCATAACTTTTTCCCATGATTTTCCATAACCCACAAGTCCATGACCTCTCTTTCACAGATGATCAATGCAAGCCTACCTTGGTACTCCACAAGTTTTTTGTAATTGAAACCGCCACTCTCCTCCATCGGAGGTGGTAAATCGAAAATCTCCCAACTCTCTTTATCATCTCCGTAATAAAAAGCAAACACTTGGTTGCTCCTCGCAAGCCGAACAAGCCAGTAGAACGCGCCGCATGATGTTACATAAGGCTGGTCGATGCCCAATAAAACACAATAGGGTAAACTTACATTCTTCAACCGCTTCCATGCCCAAGTGTTTGAATCAAACACCTCACATGTCATGTTATAGTACTGTCTTGACTTGAACTTGGAGAAAGGATACTTGTGGCTCGAGAACCGAATAATCTTGTACCTTAAAGGCTTCGAACTCAACACAGCCATGGCAGTCATTGAAGTCAAGAACCTAGTCTTTGGATTTGGTAACTTCTCCCATTGTAGAGTGGTAGGTTTGCATATAAAATAATCACGAACCACGCTGACATTTTGGTCCACACAAAACACTAGGCCTTGACTCACAGCTTCAATTTTGACAGGGACAGGCAAGAAGTCGAGAATAGCGTGTGAAAAATTCTTGTTGGCCTTGTTATCTACAGACACAAACGTTTGTATGTGCTTCCCGTCGATCTGGCTCTGGCTCTGAATTAAAAACCCCGATATGGTGTCGCTTCTCTTGCAAAAAGATTTCCAGAACCTTGAGTCATATGTGATGTGATTCCAGTCCTTTGAAACCAGCCTGCACCGGCCTAGGCTTTCGAGCGATGTTCGTGTTAGAATGTGATCAAAAAATATTTCTGAAGGAAGAGATGGTAGTGGTGAGGCCATTGGATCGACTGACTTGGATTCGAATTCTCTACTGATTTTTTTGGTGTTGATCATGTTCTTATCATGCTCTTATAAGGATTTCTTTTACTACAAGCTTTTTCAGTTTTACTTTGTATTGGATTACCAAATTTTATTGATTTAAGTGTTTGATTTGATGTTGGAGACTTGGTTTTAGGAAATTAATGAGAGTAAGATAAGATATGTTTCCCATTTTGGTTTAGGAGAAGAAAAATAAAGAGTGGTGATTTCCCCACTCCTTTTTCTCCTATTTTATCCACTTACACTCCTTTTTTATAACTAAAAAAGGAGTGTAAGTGGATAAAATAGGAGTGGGGAAATCATTGCCCAAAATAAATTAAGCAAGAATACGGTACGATAGCTGGGTTTGTTTGGTTGCGGAAATTAGGCAACACCATGAGGAATACGGTAAGCTGCGAGAGGAGGAAAACCGAGAAACTACGGGAAAATTGGGGAGATATTTTTTATTTTTTATTTAATTTATAAATTACATTAGACATACACGTGTCCAATATAATTACATTATCCTATTTGAGTATATAATGGATGGCTATTTGACTCATAAACTAGCATTATATATATGTAAATTCAATAACTCTTATGTACATGTAAATAAAATAACAATTTAGATTGATTTATTCATATCCTAACCATTTATTAATTGTAATCCATAAGCCATCGTTTACCAATTGAAAGTACAATTAATACAAGATTTGTTAATAAAACAATCGCCGGGATGAATAATTATATCTTTAGTGCGGCTTTTGTCCAAATTAGTTTTACTTTTAGCAAGTTAGTTTGTTGCCCTCTTGGGATTGGTATTTTAGATGTCTTGTTGATGTCTTTGATTCTACGATTGAAGTTTATCTAATGAAATTTCTATTTCATCCCCAAAAAAATAAAAATAAAAATCTTATCTACAAATTCAGTCCCTCTCATCCAACCTTGCTTGGTTTTCTAATGATTGTTGCATTTCCTTGTCTTCATTCACTTATTCTTTACCCCATAGATTATAAACAAGTGTATTATTTCTACAACTACATAACCACCACGGCTTTTCGATTAACGACTTGTCATTAGTTTAATTAAGTTTAATTAACACAAATAGATTAGAGAATCTTTCTTGATTATGCAAATACAAGTTCTAGCTACTACTTTTAAAGCCCCTCTCCTCTCTAAAACTCCTGTTGCTTCTACTTTCTTCACAAAACCCGAACATGTGTTACAAGGCTTACACAATACAAAGCCCTTTCTCACAGCCACCGCACCCTCCTCCTCCACCAAAAACCAACTTGGCCATGTTGTATTATGGCCTCATAGTTGTTGGAACAGCTGCTATAGTGTTTGCCATGTACAACCTTGTCTTCATCAAATGGACACCAAACCGCCACGGTGGCCAATCACCACCGTCGAGATCATCAAACACTTTGATGGATGCCAACAGAACAAGGAGGAGCAGGAGCTTTGAGAATTTGGACAGCTTCAAGTACAAGAAAAAAGAGGGATCGGTGACACAACAAGATGGGGTTGAGAACTACGTTGAATGTGCGGTTTGCTTATCAGCGTTTGAGGATGGAGAAGAGGTAAGGAAGCTGCCTACATGCAAGCACTCCTTTCATGCTCCTTGCATAGACATGTGGCTCTACTCTCACTCTGACTGCCCCCTCTGCCGGGCTCCGGTGCTGGTGAGCTCGTGGTGTCATCGACAGCTAACGACTACGCCGGAGGACAATTCCAGAGAAGTCTTGCTGGTTTGAAGTTTTGTTTTCATTTTCAGATAGAAGAAGAAAGAGATGAAATTTTCCATTTCTTAGTCTTGGGTTTTTGGTGTTTGTTGGGTTCTGAAGAAGGACGGGGATAACAAGAAATTTGCATGGTAGAAAACAAGGATTAGGTGGATAGAGTGTAAATTTTTTTGCCTTTCATTTGGATCCAGTTGAACTGGCAATGTCTGCCCACTGCTGTATATGATACTGAATTTTTTTGTTCTTAGCTATATTAGCTGTAAGTTGCAGACCACACACTCTACTTCTCTCATCTGAATATTCGAAAATGCCCAAAAATAAAAAATAATTTTTTTTGTCAACTTGATCAGTTCGAGGTGAACATTTGAAGTCATGACTTTTGTCAGATGCTCACATTTACAAAGATCTTGTGATTTCTGCAAAGACAATTCTGTATCATAGACTTGTAATTGTATCAAATGGAAAAAAAAAATTATATTATTTGGGCCTTTTTAAGTCACTCCACAAAATAAAATTCTAGCTCCGTCATTGTGTTCACAACGCTCAACAATACTAGACATCGCCAAAGACAAAACATGCGCATATAAAATGCAACCTTTGGCGCAGCTAAAGCTTACTTACCAAGCAAACATAGGCTGATTAAGAACTCTCGCGAAAGCAGCCGTACATCCACTTTCCTGCTCGCAAGCACTTTCTAAAGCACTTTTTTTAGGCTTATAACATAGAAAGAGCTTCTCCCAACCAACCTAGGTTCCACTTCCATTCATTGTAGAGAAAGGCTAAATGCTTGCTGGGTGGGAGAAGGGCAGTAGACATAAATGGGTTTGTTATACCCCATATTCTTACATGTTTGTTGTGTACAAATTTATCAAATATAATTTTATTAATCTCTGTCTGGAGTCCTGATTCGATAAATTCACAGATATTACAAGGCCCAAAATAAATCTCACCTTTCACACTATGCCAATCATATACATGGATTCTACATCTTTCTTAAATTGTCTAGCCTTGCCTGTAACTCACTATCTATCCCAGTGTCATCAGTTGCAGCTGCTTCCACTTGTGGAACCTTGTTCTTTGCAGATGGAGCAGCAACAGCAGCTGATGGCGCATTAACGAGCTGCAGAAGATTAGTAAACAAAAGATTGTTATCACTGATATACAAAAAAATTTAATTCTTGGTCAATCACAGTGGAGAGGGAAGATGTACAAGTTCAGATTGATATAAGTACCTCTTGGTTAATGTCTATTCCAATCTCATCAAGAACTTGGCTCACTAGTTCATCGGTTTCCTCCTCTTCCTCATCTCCTTCCAAAGCATCATCAATCGCATCACCCATCACTTCAGTTACCAATTCCATCTTCTCATTCTGCCTCTCAAATTCTTGCATAATTTTCTGCAGTGATGGCAAGTTCATCTGTCTGTTCATCTGTCCCATTGCCTTTGTCACTCCTTTCATTGCCTCTCCCATAGCTTGTGTCGATTTCAATGTCTGAAAAAACAAATTTATTCTAAGAATGCAACTCATCCAATAGAAAAACCACAAAGTCTTAATGACTGTGTCAAGTTAACTTATTCTGATCAGCCTGGGCTTTTAATTAATGTATTTATTTTCCTCATCTTAAGGACAATTATGTTGCAGGTCATATCAACACACCATCCATACAATAAAATACGATGGTGTTACAGAATATGAAAGAGTGCTCCATTCATATGAATTAAAGGGAGTAAATCACAGGAAGTAGGATATACCTGGATTCTAAGAGATACACCCTGGAGTTGGGATTTGAGCTTGTAAAACTTTTCAATCTGATGTCGTGTTCGAACAAGGTCTTTTGCCATAACTTTTACAGCCCCCTGAAACAGAGTTTGACAAATGAAACACCATGGTTGGGAAATATGACCATCAAATCAAAGTCTACATGCTAAAAGGTAAATGAGTAAAATGTTCAAAGCATGCATAACATCAACTGCACAAGCCAATGGAATTTAGGCTCAGCCAAACATACAAACAGAGGAAGATACTGAAATTGGCCTTCCATAAAATAAAGAAAAAGAGCAACAAGCAGAGATAAAATAACTCACCATCTGGCCTTGCTTGGCACTTTTCTTAATCTCCATTATTAGTTTCTTCTCTTGGCCTTGGAGGGCTTGCCTCTCCCTCTCTATTTCCCTAATAGATTTGTCCAACATCCTCTTGTTTTCCCGCAGAAGCTCTGAAATCCACAAAGATACACCCGCATTAAATTTTCAGCTTATAAATTATATAATCTAAACAAAACACTGATGCTAATAACAAAATCGAGTTGTATACCCACGCAACAAGAAATAAATCAAGCCTCCTGACAGATGCACACCATCACATAACAAATAAAGTACACAAATTTTATTTTAAGAACCAAATAACCCAATTACCATACGAGTAATCAAATTCAGATATCGATGTGCAAATAATGGTGTATAATGCCAAACCAAACATTCAAGTACTAAGATTTTCTTCGTTGTGTATATACATATCCCAATTGAAAGTTACACATTACACCATTACGGCTTGAACTCATTTATTTTAATTGATTAAAAACCTAATCTGCACCCAAATTTAGCTACAAAAAAAAAATCAACAATTAGAGAAACTCACTCGCATAACACTTAAAAAATCATTTATTTTATTTACAATTGAACTTATCAAAATTTCTCGGTGTTCCTCCAACCACTCTCTCCGATGACCAAACCTATTCCTCAAGCAGCCAACAATATATACAATATTTACATCAAGAGCGTCATAAAATTCACAGAACTTTAACAAATTGAAACCCTAAGAAAACACTGAGATACAAAAACAGAAAACAAAAGCATATTGAACAAACTGTGCATCAATCTACAACAAACCTGCGGGCGTCTTCCGCTTGCCAAATAGGAAACTCATGGCGCTCAATCAAACGGTAAGCAAACAACCGGAGCTTCTCTGATTCGGATCGGATCGGATCGGATCGTCTCGTCTCTGCCTGAGTTCCAAGGCTTTTGAAGCTTTTCCTCTACGCGGTGTGTGTAGTTGCTAAGGAATTGGCATCAAATCAAAAGAATCGTCGACGACGACGCACCTCACACGCGGCAACTCTCCATTGGTGGGCCCCGCGTGATCGTTATTTTTCCCACGCTTTTAATTTCTTTTTCCCGAAAGCCCAATGATATCTAAAATAACATTTTAGGGCCGTACTGATTTGTGGGCTTTAGGTAAAGGCCCAACTTTGGCTTCGTCGGCTTTTTGTCAGAAAATTGGGCTTCCCAATTACAGATTTACCGCACGCGGGAAAAGACGTCTGAGATTTTCACTTTATTTTTTACCGCAAGAGGCAGAGTTAGAGGCAGATAAATTGTGAAAGCTGACAGCAGCAGAGCACAGGAGCATGTGGGGAGCAATTGCTTTTTAAGAGCCCCGAAAGAGACAGACAGGCCCAGTGAGTCACGTGCGGGTTGGTCTCCCTCCATTCGCCGTACGTGAGAGCCCACTATTCTAAGCCCTCGTAGCACGTGCGGAACCCACAGTCGCAGGCTTGCAGCAGTCCTTCCTCCCCATTTATATTTAATTTGTATGAATTTTAAATGTTCTTGAATTTTGAGTGTTCTTTAATATCAATATATATATAGCAATAGATGAAGAGCTAGTAATTAATATTTTTTATTTGAGGAATTTTTATATTGATATTGTAGTTTATGGCAAAATACACATCTAATAATTTTCCAACAATATAAACCTTAAGTTTTCAAGCTTAAACAATAGATGGTTGTCAATGGGTTTAACCAAGTGAAAAAGAGCCGAATAATTTCAGTCTCGGGTTTAAATTATCATAGCCCCTTGAAAGTGTTGGTAATGTGTGTGAAAAACTTCCCTCTTCCTTGTAATTCGGTATATGTAACCTTTTTTTAACCAATTCTCAACATAATTCCAAACAGTAGAACTAAATGGGAGGTTCCTATACAATACATAGATAATATTATTGTATAATGTTTTTTGGACTCACGTATATTATGGATGATGCAAAATAATGCACGCAATATATCTGGCAGTGGCAGTTTGCAGAGTACCAAACCAAATTGTAAGCATGCAGCAGCTGCAGTGAATCAAATTAAGATCCAGACGAATGTGGAGAGGATCCAACCCAGAGATAGCTGGTACGTGGTCCTATCCTAAGTACGTATTTCCTCCACATGCATTTGTTTAAATCCTCCTATTATTCATTAGTTTCCCGGGTATATTATGCATGGTTGTTGAGAAACATTACGTACCCATTAAGCCATTAACCCTAATTAAATACAACACATATACATATATTGGATTTGGTTGGTCGCAGTTTTTCTAGTTTTTATAATTTACGACAGTTTATAGCCATTAACGTTTCAGAAATCCTCTTATACGGATGTCCAAATATCCGAATGTCTGGATAAGATAATAACTGATGAACTTTGTTGGTTAGTTGTTTTCCTTGTTTCGCTAAAAATCTTCCAGTTATTTCAATTTTGATTTTGTTACTTTTGAGAAAAGCAATTGAGAGGTGTTGTACTGAAAGTCAATGATAGGGGCCAATGGTGCCCCATACCATACCAAGAATATATAGCTTTGATCTGCAACTTTTTATTTTCTCCTATAGGGTGTAAAAGTTTGTTGGGATATATGCTATAATGTCTGATCCTGCAATGTATTGACTTCTTAGATTCCTTTTGAGTGGCCCCCTCCTTGTCTCCCAAGCCTCAAGACCTGTTCAAAATTTTCAATCCTCTCATCTCATTTTTCTGCAACATTAAGATCATTCTTAAGATTTGGCCTTGTCTTCCTGTTCATGCATATGGCAATGAGTTCAATGACCAACTCAATAATGAGTTGGCTTTACAAAAAATAAATAAAAAATAAAAATAAAAAAGGAACCAGCAAAAGCTATGAATATTTCTTCTGTTGCAGACAATAATTAAATGGCCAAAAAGCTCTGAGTTCTTAATCATTTCTAACCCTTTGAGTTTAAAGCGGGTGTAATTTTACCTGTGGACACACACGCATAGGTTTGTTGAGGCCATGTGCCAACCCAGTGGAAAAGCACGAGCTTTCACTTTCTCTGTTCTCTAGCAGAGAAGATTATTGGTGTTTTACTTTTTTCACACTCTCTCTTCTCTTTTTAATCTGCTTTTTTAGCAAGTACTTATAGTTTAAGCGTGTGAATGTGACAATTAACAGAGAAAAGTGCTCCCAAAGTCTTGCGCACAAGACAGTAGTTTGGTTACACATTTGGATTTGGATTTGGATATCATATCATTTCTTGTCTAATAATTCTTCCATTGCTGTCAAACTAGTCTTTTCTTTACTTACAGATAAAAAACTAAAAAAAACACTTAACTTTAGAGATTAACAGATAACACAAACAATCACTTCTTGAAGACACTTTGCTCATAATTTTTTGTTGACTGATAAAAAAGAAAAAAAATTAAGAAAATTACAAAATCAAGCCTTGGGCAATAGCTTGATTAGTTCTGAAATTAGTAGTTTCATACACTGGAAGTTCTTCCCTGTACCTTCCAATCCCAACTGGGTGATCAAGCTCAAAAAGATCAGAACTTGAATAGCTCTCAGCATCATGATCACTTTCTTCATCATCACCATCATCACAAAACCCTCTAGCAAAATTTTGACCTACTGTGGTCAAGTCTTCCTTCAACAAAGAAGCTCTTGCAAATTTTTGATACGAGGGTTTTGGCATTAAACTCGGGTCTTCTTCATAAACACATTTGTGGTGGCTTGAAGGTTGGGAATCCTCCTCACCAAGAATCACACTCACTGGGTAAAACCTCACAGACCTTTTGGTGCCATTGCTTAGTTTTTTGGCTCTTGAAGATGGCTTGCTCAAGCAAGACCTTGAGAAAGTGGAAGCAGAAGAAGAAGAGCAAGAAACAGACTTTGAAACATGTTCTGAGGTCGTCACATCCTCCACAGCTCCAACGTAACACATCTTGGCCTTCTTGACGTTCCCAGAATTGAAAATTGAGTTGATGAAGGTGGCAATTCGACCTCCTGGAGAAATGGGTTGCTTCACCTTCTTCAACTCGCCATAGATTTTCAAAGCCCTGAGCTTTGTCTTTGTAAACCCACCACCTCCGCCATTCTCATGCTTTGGCTTCTCCTGAAATTGCATGTACTTCTCGGAGTGAGCAGAGGCCGCTACCGGCTTCGGCTTTGTTCTTGGCTTGTAGCTTGAATCTGTTTCAGAGGACGAAAATGCAGCTCCTGAGCTCGACTCTGAGGAGCTAGAAGCCGAAGTCGAGAGCATGGAGCTTTGAACAGTCTGCTTCTCAACCCAGTTCTCAATCATGATAGCTCGGCGAAGATTGGTTCTGTCGCTGCCTCCCTTAGCAGAACTGCTCTGTTTCTTCATCACGGTTGATTCTCTGACATAACCCGGATCTCCATCTCCACCGTTCGATTCATCGATCGAGCGGTAAATGGAGTCAAGAAGAGAAGAAGAGAAAGATGGGTTTCTTCTTCTCCTCGGAAATGTGTCTTCCTTAAGCGACTTCTCCCTCATATACATGTTTCTTTTTTGGTTGCAGAAAACACAAAATCTACAGAGCAAAAACAGAGTATTTATAGGGAGAAAAACAGAGAGGGAACAGAGGACAGTGAGATATAGTTTAAGAGTGGGAAAGAGGGTGTGGAGCTGTAGTGTCTGCTTAGAGAATGTCAAAAGCTGCAAAGAGACATTAATAGAATGCAAGTAGATCATGTGAAAGAACAAACAAAGTGAAGAAGGGAAAAAAAAACAGGCAGAGATCACAAGTTTCCCTCTGTTCCTTCTTTTTTCTTTCTTTTTTTGGGTTTTGTTTTTCACATGGGTTTTGGTTTTGTAGTAAGATTTGTGTACAACAAAGAACAACAATGAGATTGGAAAGTGAGAGTGGGAAGAAGGATAGAGACACAGGGAAAGTGGAGGATTTGAGAATAATTTAAAACAAGGGCCGTGCGTGCGGGTGAATTATGGTTTTTGTAGGTCTTCCAGGTTGGCGTTTTTTTTTCTTTCGGGTTTTACACGTTACTGTTAAATCTTTTTTTTTAGAAGAATTTTTGTGTGTTTGGTGGCAACTTGCGAGTGGTAACTTTATTGATTCTTTCTTTTGTATGGTAATGACCAATGAGTGGAACACTGGTTTTCCCTTTCTTTTTCTTTTTTTTTTGGCGGTCTGGAAGATTGGTCTCACGGCCCAATCTGAAATTACATTAATTATGGACAATTCTATTCAACTACACGTAAGTTTTTTTTTTTTATCATAATAAAATTAACAAATATTGAGGGAATGACACTCTCTTTTATTTAGAGAAGTACGATAATTGTATTTATAAATCACGCACAAAGATCATTACTCACTAAAGCCATAATAAATACATATATTACCCACACTGTTAATTCAAATAAAGAAGAAGACACCGACAACAAGCGCACAAGGTGTATCTCCACTAATATCCACATAAGGCTAGATAAATTTCGACATAAAATCTAGTAGATTGAACAACTCAAGAAACTGAAAGTGAATAAAAGTCACTCAACCACCTAATTATCACGCAAAACATTGTTGTAGATATGCTACATGAACTCCGATCTTAAAAATATACAACCGAAGCAAAATAGCAACCACCGAATGAAAGGGGAGGGGATATGGAAGTGGATAGTGACCTTCCCTCCCCAAGGATGACATCGGTGGCTAGTGTCTTCTCTTTAACTTAGGAAATGACACTCTTAACAATATCCACTCTTACACACCTACGCCTCCATTCTTTCACCAATATTAACAATGATCACAAATTCGGCTTTTGATAAATGATCAACATAATACTAATAATGATTGTAAATTTTAAGTAAGCATAATGCCACATTAATAGATTAACACAAAAAGATTGTAAGTATTATTTTTCATTAATGAGAAACTAAAAGAGAAAAAATCATATTAATTTATCTCACTCTACAAAACACAAGATGTTCTCTCACTCTATAAAAAACACAAATAAATGTTGTGAGGAGATATTTTAGGGTGACCTCAGAAAAACACTTAGAATAAGCAGAGTTTGTATAAATTAACACACTAATTTTAGATTTCCTAATTCAAGATTTTTGTTTTGATGTATTTGTTGTAGCTCCGATGCACAGCCAAGTTATTTTGAATGAAGGCATTACTTTTTCATCATTTCTAAACTCGATGAGCAGTTATTTCAGAAAAAAAATTTATTTCAAAGCTATTTAGTTCTCGCCAATATCTCAAGATTATTTAGTTAGTAAACAATTTAAGAAGGAAGGTTCATTTTAGGAAAGATGGTAGTAGTGTGAAAAGCTTGCCAAATTATCTACCTTCTATATAAGCTACCTCCTCACATAGTTCACATGATATGTCACGTTGTTTGAGCGACACACACACACATATCCATAAGAATTTGGGGTATTCATTTACAGTTAGAAAATCATGGTTAGAGTATTCATTTTTACTACCTTGTTGCATTAATACCATAAATTGCTTTTGATCTGCGTAATTATAGTGCTTTGTATGAGAAATTCAGATGCTTTAACCAGTTTCATTTAACTCCAGTCTTTTTACTATCGCAGGAAAAAAAAAAAAAAAAAAAAAAGCTGGTTGGCGTTTTTATTATTATTATTTATGTTTCTTTTTTGGTTTTACAAGTTACTGTCTCTTTTAAATTATTTTTTCAGAAGAATTTTTGTGTGTTTGTTGCGTGATAAGTGGTAACTTTGTTGATTCTTTCTTCTGGATTGTAACGCACGACTAATGGGTGGAATTTTGGTTTCTCTTTAAAATGTGATTTAAGTGTAATTAAAATATTTTAAAGTTATTTTTAATTTTTTTTAATGAAAACACAGATGATGAAGATGTGAATAAATCTTATTAGGCTTTAATAATACTTGATAATGTCATTAAAGTTCCTAATAACATAATAGAAATGTTACATTCTTAATATAACAAAAATGTCAGCTGATAATTGGAATATACTAATTTCATCATTGATTTCAACACTTTCTTTGTTTGGATGCAAGTTAGAAAATCTAGATACAAACAAACCATCTATTTTTTAAAGTCAAAAGGAATAGCCTCATTAAAATTGGAAACCGAAAAACATACCTCCAGAATAACTGGCTCCAATATATGCATCAATATGGGCTCGTTAAATATAAACCAAGATTGAACAAAATAAAAATGAAAAATGAAATCTCATTAGTGCCTTTTGAATTTATTTAGTTCTCACCAATATCTCAAAATCTCCCACTCCTTCCCAACCACACTCCCCCCACCCCCCCCCCACCCACCCCCCCCCCACCCCACTGCAGCAAACCTAAAAAATAATATGAGGATGAGCAAGGGGCTTGTAGCTTAAGTTCTTAACAATATTTACCGTTTTATTTCAGGTTCTAGGTTCGATATCCTCTTCTCCCAATATCGCTTGTATAAAAAATTAGTATGAAAAATTGTCAACTAGTCTCCATTTTATATATGCTACATCCTCATATAATTAACATGATATGACACAGCTTCTTTGAGTGACACTAGACGCACAATGCCTATAACCGTATGAAATTTGCTTGTTCATTTTAGTATTAGAAATTTGGCACACTGCTGCTTTAACCAATTTACTTTGAACACCAACATTTTCACAGTACATAAGAAAAATGAACCGGGCAGAAAACGCTTTGCAAAATCCTTCCGGTTACCAAAAAACGCTTCATTTACTTGCAATGCTTTGCCTTTGGAGAGCGGCAGGCACAGCAAAGGATAGAAGAGAACATATCCTTCATCTGGTATTGACATACACATCTTTTAATTTCGATTTCGCATGAACTGAAATTCAGATACAACTGATGCTCTTCATCCACCAATAAACATAGTAAATAACAAAAATTAAGACTATAACCCCCACCCCCCCAACCAATCCCATACGAATTCTTTTGGATCATGAACATTGGAAACTTTGTGCTCATTCATCCCTCTGAACATCACGAGGTGCCGGCAGTGGCACACCCATTCAGATATCTATAGACAAGGGCTTTACCAGTATGGAAAAACCAGAAAGGAAAACAATCCAAGAAAGCAACACCTCCAGACTCTGGAAAGCAACAGTGGCCGCCCAATTTTTTTTTTCGATCACAAGTACTGTTCATGTATCCTGGCCCGATTCTCTTCCCACCACAATCTGGCATGCATCTCCCCAAATTTTTCTCGGCTGCACCAAATGCATTTGGAAATAAGCCAAGGTTCATGCCAAGTCGATATAATTGCAAATCATGACAATAAGGAAACGAGAGAGAAAATTTCATTTCCAGAGTCAAAAAGATTAGACATATACCACCAAACATCAAAAGAATTAGTGGAAGCAAAATAATTGCAGTAATATTGATGTCACAAAGTTGATTATATTACTGGCAGTTGGAAGTCATAATTTTCAACAAGTTGAACGAACCGCAAGTGTGCTATTATTCCATGTAGGACCCACTGCAACAGTCAGTCAACTTGACAAATGAAAATCAATCACTCATATGGCCTAGCGTTTTCATAAAGACTCCTGTTATGAAGAATTAGCATGAGGTCAACAATCAGCAGCAGGATGTTCACTTGATAGGCCACAATAATGGTACCCAAATTTTGAGAGGCCCAGTTCAAATCAAATAAACAATCCAATTTTGATGCAACTACAAGGATCCATTGGTCGGATTATGGTCATTATTGGGGTAAAAAAACCTGATCAAACAGTCCTATGGAAGTCACTGTTTAGACAAACAAAGTTGCTAGGCCCTCTCTAACCATTCTGACTCTTTTAGGTAGCTGCAATATAATCTAACAATAATACGACTCAATTTCTCACTCGTAAATGGTTAAAGCACATTCTCCAAGTTGTGAATTTAAGTAAGCCATGTGAGAGTAGATCTACTAAAATCATGTTTGCCTGAAAGATTAAAGAACCTTAGCCAAGCCAGACCAAAAAATAAAAAGAACGGTAGCCACATATATGCAGCACTTCTCGTTAAGAACATTACCTGAATCTGACTCGTCTAAGCTCCCGTTTGCCCCCTGGTAGTGCTCTAATTGTGATGTAAACCCCTGGCTCATCCTGTTCAACCCATTCAGTCTCTAGATCGCTAGCGTTGCTGATAGATAGCTCTCCTGAGCGATCTGCCTCCCTTGATGAACTACTTCTGATAGAAGCATCCATGGATGATGTCTCAGTCTTGGTCCCACTTATGCTGGAGAGTTTTGGCGTGGAATTGATACCACCTGAATCATAGTAATGGCGGGACTGCATTGGGTGATGATCAAGTGAATCTGAGGATGAGTAGCTCATAGCCATCCCCGTTGGACGGTACAGGTTGCGAGGTAGGCGTTCTCTAGTTAGTGGTGGAGTTACAGGGCTGGCTTCCGCAGATTCCATCTTTGAACTCTGTAACAGGAGAGGAAAATGACATCAATCACATCAAAGAATAAATGAAGAAAAGAACACAACTTACATATCGTTAGTCATAATACTCTATTAAGTATTAGGCCTCAAGATGGTGATTGCATTAAAGGTTTTTCTGAAATATCATTTACCAAAGCTGAATTCGAATTGGCATCACTACGATCAGTTACAGAAAAATTGAGATCAGCAACCTACATGAGTGTATTGCCATCAGATGCGAATAGAACAACGCAGAATTGCCAATGCAATTGAATTTCTATAAGCCAGCTTGGGGCTTACCTCATCTTCAGATCTTGGTGGGGTTGGAAG